AAAAAAAAATGTTGCATGGAAGTGTCATATTTCAAAATGGGATGTCTAAAATGGATATAACCATTTATCTTACAATAGAAAATGCTTTAGATTTCATGAGTTATCCCTACTTTTACAGATGAGAAGCCACTAGCTAGTGCAAGAGATGGAATGTGACATTAAGGAATATGGCTCCAAAACTGGGCTATTTCAGGAACAAAGTTTGTAATGATTGAAATAATCTGTATCTGCTTGATATTTAAAATGACTTTAATATCTGAAAACATAGCAAAATAGAGTATTTGTCAGATTAACCCAATGATTGACAATGTGTAACTATTGACTCATAATTTTAAGTGGAAACGTATTCAAGAATTTGGCTGCTTTTGTAAATATTGGGTTATTTAAGAGTCAAAATCAAAAAGGATGTGGTGACTCCTTGGTGACTTTTTTAACTACTCATTTATATTAAATCACCCAATCTTAAAATGAGAGAGAGAGAGAACAACCCTAGGAATTGTGTACTACCTACATATTTATACAATGCTAGGGTGTACAAAGAGGTGATCTTATAATTAGTAACATACCAATTTAATTGTTTGCAAGGGATTTTTATTCTAATAGTATTAAACAATGTTATGCAATAATTTTAATAATATACTGCATTTCTGCCATTTTATAGATAAGAAAACTGAGGATGTGGGGATAAAAAACTGGCTAAGTAACTTTGTTTGGTAGGACCAGATTTAGGGCTCAAATCAAGTCAGCCTGACTCTACACTTGTCTCTGCACAATCACTATGATTTAACAATAAAAGTCTCACACTCATATTCATAACTATAAGGTTATGATTAAGGGTGCTTCATACACTTTTGAACTCAAAAATTGAATATAAGAACTCTGGATTCTACTCTACCTTCATCTATCATATCTACCATCCAAGCTATTATATTCAAGCTCTAAGATGATATACAGTGAGCAATATAAATACAGACTGGACAATGTCACATGAATTTACTGGGTAATTTACACCTGTTTTCTTACCATCTACACTAGCATCATCCACCAAAATGATTTCCTTCAGCAGTATGGCAGGTGAAGAATAGAGCACACTGTGGACAGTTCTAAGCAGTGTGGACCATGCTTCATTATGAAAAACTATTATGACACTGGTGGTAGGCAGAGGAGGACAGCGCTTAAATTTCTGTTCAATACATCTAGAAGAAGTCAAGAAGTAGAAAAACATTAATAAACTTCATCACTTTATTTCACAGCTATACCATTACTAAAATCATCAATGTTTATCAATGCAGAAATGATAGTGGATAGTTTCTGTATAAAATTATCTTAATTCTGTGTAAATTTAAATAAATTAAAACAAATTTTTTACAAGCAGACCACTACCCAAAGATCATGTCCACTTAATGGATAATATGTCAAGGATTAAAACTCAGTAAAAGCTTTCTCAACAAGGCAGTATTTAATACAAATAACATTTAAATAAGGGAAATAACCTACAAATGAAACTTGTAAATAACAAATACTTGTAACTGCTGACATAGGGAGTAAATTCTACAGTCCTCCATCACTAGCAGAGGTACTGATATGCCAATAAAATCCAAGTTTCTTTCTTTTTCTTTCTAATTGGCATCATTTTTCTTATTTGCAATTTTAAAAATAGTACAACTTTATTAAATGAGTATTTATCTTTGTAGATATTTTCACAGATTCCTGAGTATGGAGCATTTCCCAAGCCTTTTTAATCAACTTACTTATTCTACACTTAAACCCAAGGAGTGAAATAGCTACTATAAAACCTATTATGACATTTATCATTCAGCAAAATCTTATTAAATACCTACCATATGATGTAGATCATACTGTCTTAAAATTTTTTGTTCCAATAATCCAATCCACAGTTTAATAACCTAGAATTAAATTTTTCTTTAAAAAAAAAACTAAGCATAAATTTAAAAGTCTTAAATCCAAGCTAAAAGTTCTGTAGTCCTGTCACCATCTGAAACATTGATAGGCACAAGGAGAGATATGCTACCTAAGTTGTTTTTGACTGATTAGTGGTGCTACCCAACCACTCAAAACAATGTCAGTAAGTTGATAGTGAATTCATTTTTATATCAACGTCTTCCCCAGTGGAAATGCCTATGGCACTGTTTGGATGGATCTCTATAGTCTCCAAGCCTTTGGGCCAGGAGATGACCATAGTCCTTCACCTGATGAGATGAAGTAAGGATCAAATAAAATAGCATATAAGGAGGGCTTCAAAACACTGTGAAACCAAGCAGAACTAGCCTGGGACATAAAACATGTGTGCTCTGTGGTGAAGATAAATAACACAATAACTATCTTTAAGCTCACTTAAAAAACATAATTCGTGGTACAATTTTTGACAACAGACTATGAAATCCTCACACAGAGGTAAAAGGCTCTATAAATACAGTGCATAAGAATCAAACAGTACTGTTCAAATTCAAAGATAAGGACGTTAATCATTCACTCATGGAGATAAGAGCCTATGATGTTTCAGCTGTTTTGCCAGAGGCAGTGGGGAATCCACTTACCCTAGTAAAGTATTAGAGGTCTGAGAATGCCACCCTACAAAAGGTATTCTAGAAACTCTCGTTAGTTATATTTATCACCATACCTCCAAAAAATTATTTCAGATCCTTTCCTGAGAGGAGGTCATTAGGATGGAATATTTGCAGTGATGAAAAAAGAATTAGGCTGGTGATAAGAATAAAGTACTAAGAGAGGATGTCATTATTAAGAGGGGAATTTCTCACTGAAAGTGACTTTGGTCTCTAGATATAAAAGGCAACATAAATTACAACTAAGAATTATGAATAATTCCACACTATAGTAGTATTTTCTTTTTTAAGAAAAAAGAAGTGCCATCACTGGCTGTCTTATAAGTATTGAGGAGAGGGATTTGGGGGTTAACATTAATTTTCCTACTTTTATTTTTCATGTCACTAATATTAACCAAAATTTAAAGTACAACATTCACAGAAATTCATACTAAGAAAATGTCAACACTTTATTTTTGCAAGGTTTTACCTCAGTTTAAGATTCATTTGCTTAACTGTTAACTACTCATATAAGTAAAAGTGTCATATCATTATGGCAAGTGATAATAAAATTTCACAATATGATTTCATAAACTTCATTTATTTTATAATTATCATGCTAAGCTTTAAAAACTGTTTCACAGGTCATGTAATGTAGTGAAATTAAGATAACTTGTCAAAATGACTACATATTCCTAGTCATTTGAAAAATTTGGCATGTTGAAATGTATTTAAATTATCAGTCATTGGCCATCTGGCTTTGGGAAAAAACAACATATACTTCTAATGAAAATGTAAAATTATAATTATTCAGAAAATGTATTTCTTTTTTGAGGTAGGTTAAAAATTTAAAGTGAAAAAGTATTCTTCACCAACACATCACAGTTCTAGGTATCCCTGGTATCCATTCCTATGCAACAACAACAAAAAATGTAATTTATGTATTTAGCGTTTCATTTACTGTAAACTCTTTCATTGTCTAGAAACTATTCATTAGTTATATTATCATCATACCTCCAAAAAACTGAAAATCTTAAACAGGGACCTCCCTGGTGATGCAGTGGGTAAAAGCATAGCACTAAGAAACTAAAGCCACATCACTATGAGCTCAATCCCCAGCCATGGAGGTGACCCACATGGCGCAGCAGACCTCTCCTGA